CATAAAATTAAATAAGAAGACCAAAGTCAAGATCCTTGGATTACCACAGTTTAAGACTTAATGCAGAGTTAGAGTAATTAAGATATGGTCATACTGACAAAGAAAAATTGACTGGCAAATGCAGAAACTACAGGGAACCCCACAGTAGGTCCATGCTAATAAACCAAATGGATTCTTGATAAAGGGCTAGAAACAAACGAGCAGGTAAAGGGCAACCTTTTGAAGCAATGGTGCCAGAACAACTGTGTATTCACACACAATTGTAGCATATGTGCTGCCGAAGCGAGCACGCGTATTCACACACAAAAAGAATTCAGATACAGGTCTTACATCTTTCACAAAAACTAATTCAATATGGGCCTTAAATTTAGACACAAAAGTACAAAACTTCTAGTAGACCACATAGGAAACAAAAGATGGATTTTCTGAATGTCTTTAGACCCATACTATAAAATTTAAAAGTAGCAAGTTGGAGTTCACTAAAATTGAAAACAAAAGGTACATAACATACTAGAAGAAAATACTTGTAAAAACATCTCTGATGAAGGACTTTTGTTGGAAACATATAATAAACCCTCCTACAAGGAACAAAGGGAAGAAACAAATTTTAAAATAGGCAAAATTCTGAACAGATACCTTACCATAGATGGTACACAGATGGTGAAAATCATACCAAGATTCTCAACCTCACATGTCATTATACAGCTGCAAATGACAGCCGTGACACAGCTGTGCGCACGTACTATAAGGGCCATGTTTAGCAGGGCTAGCAGTGCCCAGCTCTGGTGACCACATGAGCGTGGAACATACATGGGTACGTGCATGTATCAGTGGTGACCATGCGAACCGTCCGGTGGCCCGGGAAGACAGCATGCAAGTTTCCTACACAGCCAAACACAGATTTGTCATGTAACCCACCAATCATACTCCAAGTTTTCTTCTCAGTTAAGCTCAAAACTTAGGTCCAAACAAAAATTTCATGCAAGTAGGCATAGTGTGTGAAATCCTCTTTCACACACATTGCTGTGCGTTTCTGTGCATATCCATGGTATGTAAAGACTCTTTCATAACTGCTGAGGAATATTAGCTACCAAGATGTTCTGCAGTAGAAAGAGGAATATAAAAAGCCTGTGGTACCTCCATACAGTAAAGACCCCAGGGATTATATATATATATGTATTTAACAAAAACTCAATATACTTCTCTTGTTTTAAAACAAAATTAGCAAATTAGGAATAGAAAGTAACCTTGACCTCAAATGAGAAACAGACAGGATTGTCCACTGACACTATTTGCATCTGATATTATCCTGGTGGTTCTGCCAGGGTGTGGGGAGGCGGGGATTACGTGGACTAGAAAGGAAGAAGTGAAGCTGTCCTGTGGACAGAGCTGCAGGGCCCGCGTGAAGTGGCGCACATCCAGGTGAGTTCCTTTACAGACATTCTAAACATGTTTTCAAACTCTCATTTTAATGTCCTCTGCTGGGGCTTTTGTGATGCGGTGGGTGTCAGAACCATCAGGCCGGCTAGAAAGTGGCAGATCTCTGAGCCTACCTCTAAGTGTGGCTTTGTCCAGGGCTTCCCAAAGAATCTGCATTCTTTCTCAAAGAATAGAAGACTGTGGACCATACTTGGAATACAGCCAACGTTTAGAATGTTCTTTTCTTTCTGCTACAGGAAGTAGAGGGTTTTATTGGACTATACTCCTTTTGGTAAAGTCTTACTGCTGGTGGTAGTTCAATTTAGAGCTATGTTTCTCGGTCCAAATTATGCCATGGCCCAGAAAGCTAAATCCCCTCGGGGGTGCTTAGGCTATGGAGTTGGGAAAAGGAGGAGGTGGTGGGCAGAGGGGAACCACACCCCAGAATGCAACTTGGAGAGGCACGGGTGTGGCATCGGTGTGCTTTGCATTGATTTCTAAGGGCTTTGGTGTCCTGCACGTGACCTTGTTTATCTTTACTGAGATTTCTCATCATTCCATTCATTATGAATATATGTTGTGCTATTCTCTTTTCGTGTGTGTGTGTGTGTGTGTGTGTGTGTGTGTGTGTGTGTGTTACCATGGACTGATCTCAAAGCCTTTGCACTGAGTGACATCCCCAGTCCTCTTTTCATCTTTGATTTTGAGATGAGGTCTCACTAAGTCACTGCACTGCCCATGTTGGCCTTCGGTGTACGCTGCTCCTGCCTCAGCCCGCCAGAGTGCTCATACGTATAGATGTGCACAGCCACACCAGGCTACCTTTCCTTGTCTTCTTGGGCACAGTTATAACAGGTTATAATAGCTTTAATCTTTATTTGAAATTCCAGTGCATGACTCATCTAGATTAGTTTCTCAGTTGTCTTTTTGGGGCTTCTGCTCCTCATATGCTGAGTGATAGTGGGTTGTACCCTAGGGTCGTTGCATTGTAGAGACTCTGGCTTCTGTTCTCTCCTCTGGAAAAGGCTGAGCTGCTGCTGCTGGAGGAGGAGGAGGAGAAGGGGAGGGGGAGGGCAAGGGGGAGAAGCAGAAGGAGCAGGTATGAACCTGTCAGGCCAGCTTCTAAGCTATCTCACTGAAGGGAGCAGCTCTCAGTGTCACAGGTGCCCGAATGGGCCCCTAATCTGATCTCGCTTGGGGCTCTTGCTCTCTATCGCTTCCCTCCCGTGGCTCCCTTTTGCTTTCCAGTACTTTCTCTAATTGCCCCAAACTGGCCATCAGCTTCTAGACAGGAAAAGATGAATTCCGAGTTCTCACCTCTCAGACCCTGCCCCAACCCAGAGCCATACAGCTGGTGGCCATGCCCTGCTGATGGGAGCTCCTCAGCCCCCACTGCCACCCCCAGAACTGGTGTCATTGGCTAGTTTTTATCCCAGGTCTTAGAGCTCATATTTGTCTCTCCAAACACAAAGCCCACTTGGTTGCCTAAGAGCAGAGCAGCCATTCCCAAAGTGGAGCCATTGGGCTACCATTATCATACACACTGAGTGACTCGGCACATACGCCTCTGCCCAGAGCAGGTCACTGCCAAGAGTTGACACGGTACCAGGCATGGAGCAGGCAATGTGACCAGGTCCGATCCCAAGGACTTTGCCCTGAGCTCCATCTGTAGCCCTTGCTAGCAGAAGATGGGTGATTGGGGTTCAGTGGAGCCACCCGGTCCCCTCTCCTCCACCCTCCTACAGGAACCAGGACGTGGTCACTGCTGATGTCTGGGGGGCGTGCTGTAAACTAAACCCCCTAGATGCAGAGGCCTGCTATGAGAGCGAATCCCCACCTTAGCAACAGTGAAGTCTCCCTGAATCCCAGCATTCACTGGGGCCTTACGATGCTTTCACTCTGTCTGGGTCTTCCCTGTCACTTTCCCAGGCTGAAGGACCCTGACATTATCAGCCACTTGCAGGCGAGGAACTAAGGCTCTTCTGGGTTAACTGACTCTCTGTAGAGACCAGGAACAGGCCCCAAACTTGCCCCTAGCCGCCCTTTCTCTGACATGGACTGGTAAATGAAGCTAGCCCAAGGCTCCTCCAGGCTGTCTGCAACAAGAAAGAGGGCTTGTTACAGAGCAGAAGTCAATGCACCGCTTGGCAGCTGAGGCAGGAGGATCACAAGTCTAAGCTCAACTGAGCAACTTCGTGATTTAGCAAGACTGTCTGAAAATTTAAGAAGTGGGGAGGGGCTGGGAACATAGCTCAGTGTGAAGTCCCTGGATTTAATATTCCAGGTACAGAAAGAAAAAAAGAAAAGAAAGATTATTTTAAAATTCACCAATGCCCACCCCCCATACTGGGGATTGAAATCAGGGTATCCACGCTGAGCCACACCCCCAGCCCCTTTGTATTTTTTTATTTTGACACAGGGTCTTACTAAGTTGCCCAGGCTGGGCTCTAACCTGCCTCTCCCCGCCTTAGCCTCCCAGCGCACTGGGGTCACAGATGTGTGCCTCATTCCTAGCTGACCTTCCTGTTCAGTGACATGGGTCCTGGTGATCTCAAGTGCCACCACACATGTGGCTCTTACCTCCACATATCTGTCATTGCAGGCGCATGCGGTGTCCCTGCCGTCCGGTCTAGATGGAGTCCCAGGGCACCCCAGAGCCCACTACCAATTTTGATTATGACCCCCAGAGCTTCCTGTGTGAGAACCAGGCCCTCACGCTCGCCACCTTCACCATCACCATCCTGTACCCGCTGGTGCTGCTGCTCAGCCTCGTGGGCAACAGCCTGGTGCTGTGGGTGCTGGTGAAGTACGAGAGCCTCGAGTCCCTCACCAACCTCTTCATCCTCAACCTGTGCCTCTCAGACCTGGTGTTCTCCTGCCTGCTGCCAGTGTGGGTGTCCGAGTACCACTGGGGGTGGGCGCTGGGCGAGCTCCTGTGTAAGGTGCTCAGCATGACCTTCTCCGTCAGCCTCTACAGCAGCATCTTCTTCCTCACCATCATGACAGTCCACCGCTACCTGTCGGTGGTGAGCCCCCTGTCGACACTGCGCGTCCACACCCTCCGCTGCCGCGCGCTGGTGACCACGGCCGTGTGGGTGGCCAGCGCCCTGTCCTCCATCCCCGATGCCGTCTTCCACAAGGTAGTCAACTCTCAGTGCACATACGCAGAAACGCGGGGCCTGCTGGCCTCGGTCTACCAGCACAACATCTTCTTCCTGCTGTCCATGGCGACCATCCTCTTCTGCTACGTGCAAATCCTCAGGACCCTGTTCCGCTCTAGGTCCAAGCAGCGGCACCGGACGATCCGGCTCATCTTTACTATCGTGGTGGCCTATTTCCTCAGCTGGGCCCCCTACAACCTCATTCTGTTCCTGCAGACTCTGGAGAAAGTTGGGGTCATCCAGAGCTGCGAGACCAGCCAGCAGCTGCACTTCGCCCTGCTGCTGTGCCGACACCTGGCCTTCTCGCAATGCTGCTTCAACCCGGTGCTCTATGTCTTCGTGGGGGTCAAATTCCGCAAACACCTCAAAAGTCTTCTCCAGCAGGTACGGCCGTGCCACCTGCAGGCCCCCAGTCCACCCCCGATGCCCAGGTCCCCGGGCGCCTTCGCCTACGAGGGTCCCTCCTTCTACTGAGGGGAGGCGTGGTGCCTGTGCAGGTGGACAGGGCGCCTGGGAGATGAGGAGACGTGGATGGAAGGAACACTGCCGCAAGATGCCGCCGATCGCTGCAGGGGTGGGGGAAGAAGCACGAGGACCTGTGGGTCCCGGTGCCCTCCAAGGGACAGGGTCTCCTCACTGGGCACTTGATGCCACCATGCATCGAGTCGCACGTATGTTGTTCGTGTGTGCAACAATGTTCTTCACTCCTTCCTTCGCTCAGATGCAGACCGCTCATCCCTGCTCAGCCTGCAGCTCCTAAAACACGCAGTGTTCCCAGCAAAGGGGCCTCTTTCAAGCCCTTGGGGGTGGGGGGCGCTCGGTGGCTGTGACCATGGTACAATGCAGGGGGCTTCCTGGACAGTCTCCTGTCCCTGGCTGCGCAGTTGCCCCACTCATCTGCCCACTTCAGAGGGGACTCAGGGTCTGCTGAGGAGGCGGCCAGAAAGGCAGAGCAGCTGCAGCCTCCCAGAAGCACAGCGAGCCCGGAGCCCAAAACCTCTCTAACTGCACTGAAGCTGGCTTTGCATCCAGGCTCGTGCCCACGGCACGGAGACTGGCCCTTGCGATCCACCTCATAAGAGCCTACTGCAAGCGCGAGCACAACAGGCGCTGCCTTCTGCGCTAAGTCCACCGGGAGGATGCGAAGGCGGCCACCTGCAGTCCTACCCTCCAGGTGCCAAGTGTGCAGCCCTGAAGGCCCGAAAGGTGTCTCCTGCAATGTCTCATCCCTTCGGGGTGGAGGGGGCCGACCTGGCCACTTTCTCCTAAAGTATCCCCTTCCTACAGGGGTGAGGGGGCCAGCTTTCCCCACCCCCATGCTTCTGTCAGAGCCTGCACCCCTTCTTTCAGTCCCACACCATACCATGACCCACACTGCTTATCTGGGGCCTCCCTCAAACCTCTAGCTCCTGTCTGAAGGCTGAACCCCAAAATCCCCTGAGTTCCTCCCATCTTCCTGCTGCTCCTCACCTCTACACCAGGCTGTGAGGGATCTCCAAAGGGCTTCTCAGCCCCCAGTTCCCAAATGAAGTGCAGGGGCCTCAGCAAGCATTTCCTGGCCTCCTCCCTCGGCACCAGCCACCTTTCCACTCGCTGTGCTTGGAGCCCTGGTCCTTTGGACCCCGCCCCCAGAGGCCCCTTCTCCCCGTCTCCTGCCTCTGCACGTTTCTTACATGGTCACCTAGGCCTGGAGCTCCGGTCCTTCTCGCCAGGCTCCCAGCTCCAGCTGAAAGGCCAGGTCCTGCAGGAAGCTTCCCCATCCCACAAGTGGGAAGGGTGCTCTGGGTTGCTGTGGCACCCTGCTTGCCCCTCTCCACAGTGTTTATCACACTCCGTCCTGTGCCACAGTCACGCGCACACATGCCTTATCTCCTTGTGCTGTCTCACACTTGGCAGGAAGGAGCCTGGCCTTAAGTCCTGGGGTGCTATCTCAGAGGGCAGAGGGGGATAGCTGTGGCCCTGTGCTCCGTGAGGGTCCAAGCCACAGGGCACCCTGCACCTCCTTGGCCCAGGTTGCTTCCATCGCTTTCCTGCCTGTCTGCACCCTCCGCACACGTTGCTGAGTGCCCAGTGCCCATGGCGCGGCCCTCCCTCGCCTCCTGGCTGTGGCCCACCGGCTTCCTCTTCCACAGTCCCACAGCTTCACACGAGGGTGCAGACACGGCCTGCCCTCTAAACTGTTCCATGCCATGAAGGCCTGGGCCCATAAGCCTGACTCGCTCAGGGCCGAGGGACTGACCACCTCTCACCACGATTCTGACTTGCACCCCTGTCCTGCGACAAACCCGAGGCTGCCCTCGCACAAACATGGAGGCTCCAGATCCTTCACCGGCCCTCAAGCAGGACTTACACGCCGAAGTCACGAACATTCACTCACTGAATGGAGCAGCTTCTCAGACCGCCCTCAGCAGGGGCCCAGAGAGCTTGGAACGCAGTGTCCCCTTCAGCCCCAGCTGAGCCCCACCCGCTGACTTGTCATGGGTGGGGCACTGTGTGGGGAAGAGCTGGGCTCCATCTCAGTATGACAGCCAGTGGCACCTGCTGGAAGGTCCAGGTAGCACCGCAGGGACAGGATAAGATCCACGGGCCTGCCCACCCTCCCTCAGCAACGTGCAACACTGCAGAAGGAGGAGACTGAGCTTGTTTATGAGGCCGGAGCCAAGCCCAGAGGCCCTCCTCAGCAAGTTGGCCTGCAAGCACCCCCAAAACCTGATCGCTAAATACTTATTCTGCTTTTATTTAGAGGCCAGGTACCCCCAACAGCAGAGGGCAAAGGAGGCCAGCGCACACATCCTTGGTGCCAGGCGGCTTGGTGTTGGCCATCACCCACAGCGCCCTTCGAGTGGCTCACGCCGCCCTGTCCCGATCCTGTCCTAACCTTTGCACCCCCAGAAGCTTCCTAAGAATGTCTTCAGCACGTGTCCCTGGGCACCTTTTATTAGAAGCCATCCTGGCTGTCTGGGGATATTACAATGATGCTCCGGCATCCCTCTCGCAAGCTCCCAGCCCAGTCTTGAATCAGGAGTCTTCTGCTAATTTCGCTTCTCAGGTATCCGGGGAAAGAGGCACAAAAACAGCTGCAAGTGGGACAGAAGGAACCCAGAAGAGGAGGGACCCTGGCCACAGCCCTCCACTGGCCCAGCCTCCCGTCCCTCCACCTGCTGAAACCCTGCCCCCCTCCAGACCTCAGCCTCACGAGCTGTCCCTCCCACCAGGCCCCTGGGCCCAAGGCTGCCGACCACTCACCACTCCTGGAACACGAAGATCCTCGCCTCTCCCCTCCACACTCCCTCAGAAAGACCAGAGGAGCAGAACCTGTGGCCAAGCCTAAGGCGGCTGAGTGCAAGTCCCTGGGGGGGGGGGGGGTACACCGTTTCCATAACCTTCCTGTGTCTGCAGTGGTTCCAGCTACCTGCGTAGTGCACAGCAGAGCACGATGGGCCTTCTTCCACTTTGGCCTTCTTCTTTCACACCAGCCCACAGCACGTCTTCTGGTGAGCTCCAAGTGCCTGCCTCATGGAGTCCTGAGCCTCTCCTCCAGGTCCAGAGCCCCAAACCTGGCCCAGTCGCTTGTCCTTGAGCTTCGTGGAGCTGACAGCTTTCGTTTAGGAAACCAGCCTGCGATGGGGCAGAGAGCACTGCAAATGCAGGGATTCTGGGAGATCCACCAGTGAACAGTTGGAGAAGGCACACGGCATTCGAGCCCAGACCTAACTCCCAAATCTAAGCTGTTTCCCAGGCCACTGTGACCCCGACCGCTTAGTGCCTCAGTTTCCTCATTTGTAAAACCATAGACTCACAAATTCCTTGGGATGAATGTGATCACCATGTATATCTAAAATATGCCAATAAACTTAATTTTTAAAGAAAGCTATCAAGACTCCCGCCATCCTGGGTTGAGCATGACGATGCCCCCTCGGGTTGTAAGCCGCTCTGTCCCCATGAATAAAAACAGGGAGCTGTCTGCATTCTACGCACAGGAAACGGCCAGCCTGCTCTCGCTTCCTTCTGGCTAGTTGGCTCAGTTTAGGCCTCTGTGATTGGGCACCAGACACTCAGTCCCTAGCCCAGGCTGGCTGTGTCTCCCTGGTTCTCCCCAACACCATGATGGACCCTGAAAGCTCTCTGTTTCCGGAGGGCCTGGGTTAGCACCTGCAGCTGGAAAGTGAAGGGGGAATCCAGCCCACTTGGCTCAGGCAGGCCTCAGGGTGCATGTAGGCCTTAGGTGAAACTGGCCCAGAGGCCGAGGGGGTCTTGCAGGCCTTGTGACGGTCCCCACCTCTCTGTGGACTGACACTCAAGTCTTCTGTCTCCCAGCTCAAGGAATGTTTTTGCCCTAAATAAAGACCTTTCAGAGATGTCCCTATGATGACAAGGAATGATACTAATTCCTGCTGGGAATTTGAGCATCGTGCAAACCTGGTGGGGAATGTTTTGGAGGTTGGGGTGAATTTTGAAAGAGGACAAGAGGCTCTCGTACCTACATGTTCAGGAGTTAGGGCACAGAGCCCCACTCTCCACTAAGGGTCACCCCAGGTCTCAGGGCTGCAACGCACCTCCTCAAATCCCAGGGACCCCTCCACAAAGAGAAGAGCAGCCAGAAGAACAGAGGCACCACCTCGACTTCAGCCACTCCAGAAAACCAGCCTCGAGTACCACACGTGGTTACAGGGAAGGCTCAAGTCCTAGCCCCAGTTTCTCTGAAAATGACCTTATTTGGAAATAAGGTCACTGCAGATGTCTTTAACATGAGACCATAGAAATAGGACAGTCCCGTACTCTAATTTGCTTTTTTGTTGTTGCTGTTGTTGTTTTGGTTTTGGCTTTTGAGACAGGGTCTCATTATGTAGTTCAGGCTGGCTTTGAGACCACTATGTAGCCCAGGTGGGCTTCGAACCCCTAGTGATCCTCTTGCCTCAGCCTCCAGAGTGCTGGGATTACAGACGCGCACCACCACACAGGGCCTCTACTCCAATTTGACTGGTGTCCTTATCAAAGTTGGGGCCAGGACACAGATATGAGGAGCAGCCCACAGGAGGACTGGTTGGCATTGCCTCTGCCGCCACACACCAGACTGCCAGGCAACCATGAGACACAGGAGAGACTCAGAGGCTTGGGAGAAAACGCCCTGCCAGCACCCCGATCTCCGAATCCCACTTTCCAGAACTCTGAGATGTAAGTAAATGTACAGGCAGTGTTGGGGCTTTGTTCAGGCAGATCCCTGGCATGCTAACACAGGGCACACGTTTCGGTAGGGGGAGGGAAAGCCCAGTGCACCTCCAAACTCCCACGGGGTTCCAGTGTCCACCCCCACCAGCCTGAGGACACCCACAGGACACTGGAAGTCGAGTTCCATGGAGCTCGCTGTGTACCAGGCCACAGGCATCCGGGAAGGTTGCTGTGTCTGCCACTTTGGCCAAGGGGGACGTCAGGGACCAGAGAGGTCACACTGCAACATCCCAAACTGTGTGTCAGGTCAAGTGGGAAACTGGGAAAAAATACCAGTACCTGAGTCTTTCACCTGAGATCCCAAAGCAATTGGTCCGAACACATGAGACTCTGGGGGGACATTTGAGGTTTAAAGGCAAGCGTGACTAGGGCAGAAATCTCTGGAATGAGCGTGTTCATCACATTTCAATTTCCAGTCCATTGTGGGAGCTCTCTGGCTAGTGAGCAGTCGACCACGACAGGCCCGGTTGGCTGCGACGCTGACAAGCCCACTCAGCGCACAGCTGAGCCTCCCCTCTCAGAGCGCGCCCGTCTGCCCCATTTCTCAGGGCCTCTGTGGTGCTGATCCCCAAGCCCCTGTCTTCCGAGGGGCACTTCCCACTTTTGCCCTTGGTCAACTTTCCGCAACAGCTCTGCTGTCCTCTCATCTGTCTCGGCCATGGGGTTGCTGCAGGCCCTTCTGCTTTCTCAAGCTTTCCACCACAGAGCAGAAAAGAGGAAACACTCGGGGAGTTGGGTGAGGCCACAGAACTGGAGGTCAACCGTGGTTCTTTTGTTAGAGTTGATGAGCAATTCCTGAGCACATTTTCTCAGCTTTGCCTTCAAACTCAACCACTCCTCACACTGCCTCTTCTGCCGCCACGGGGCTCACATGCACACTCATCTCTCTTTCCCTCGGCTGCCCTGGTCCCTGTGGCTTCCTCTTCTCCTGCAGCGCTGGACCCTCATGGCCCCTCCACACACCGGGCACACACTGTGCTTCCAAGCCTTTGCCCCGGCTGGTCTTTACTCCACATGCCCAAAAGGTCTGCTCCGGCCACGCCACCATGGGGACTTCCTCATGGCATGGCAGCCTCCATGTCAGATTTCTCACACAGAAGTTCAGAGCTCCAGCTGCTCCTCAGTCGGAAGGTACACGGTGTCACTTCTGCCTTTCTCTGTTGAAGGAAGCAAGACACCAGCTACCCAGATCCAAGGACAAGGGAAGGGCCAGGGAGACTGCTCAGCAGTCTAAGCGCCTGCCTAGCAAGCGCAAGGACCGAGTCTGACCCCCAGCACCGCATGCCTCGCCAGCCCCAGAACCCCGGTTGCACCGTGCCAGCCCCCAAATCAGGTATGGTGGCACATGCCTGTAACCTGAGCACTGAGGAGGCTGAGACAGGAGGATCACTATGAGTCCAAGCTGCATAGCAAGACCCTGTACCAAATAATTAATTATAAATAATTAATTAATTTAAAAAACAAAGAAAAAGGTAATCAGACTTCTCATGGGGGAGTGGCAAGGGCACACTGCAGAATACATAGCTGCAGATGTGGCCACTCCAGCAGGGAGTTCTCAGAGAACTGGACATGTCACAGAGCAGCTGGCTCCTGCAGAGAACAATGGCAGGGACCCAGGTGAGACCGCACCGTCAACTTCTGTCCAGCCTTGGAAGTGACACAACGGCACCTCTGCCATCTGTGGATCAGGAGTGATTCACGTGGGTCAGCCCGATTCAGAGAACAACGACACACCCGTGTCTCCCTCCATCTCCGGATAAGAATAGCACGAGACTCTGTGGACATGTTTAAATCAGGACCGAGGTCCCGCCGGCAGAATGGCTATGATCAGGAACACGAAAAACAATAAATGCTGGTGAAGATGGGGTTGGGGGACCCTTCTACACTGCTAGTGGGCATATGAATTAACACAGACACTTGGAATGTGCTGTTTTCTTTTTTTTTTAATTAATTTTATTGAGAAAGAAATAGCAGTGAGACAGTTTCAAAACAGGTTAGTGGGACAGTTACAATAATTAATACATAGATATGGTGTTTTCAAAAAAGGGAAAAATGGCCATATGATCCAGGTTTATACTCTTTAGTATATTTCTAAAGAAATACTGTAGATACCTGCATGCCCACGTTGATTGTAGCACAAATTGCAATAGACAAGACGTGGAATCAGCCCAGGTGTCGGCCACAAATGGATGAATGGATCAAGAAAAATGGTATATACACACAATGGAGTATTATTTGGCCATCAAGAAGGAAAGCATGGCATTCTCAGGGGATCATCCTATTAAGTAAAAAGAGCCAGACTCAGAAAGACAAGTATTGCATTTTATCTCACATGCACACTCTAGAAACAAGCAAAAACACATGAAAGTGAAGGTTTGGTATTAAACTGGAGAATGGGGATCAGAGGGAGGGAAGAGGGGAGGGGAAGGAAGGAGAGGGAAGAAGGGGATACAATGTCAGTCTGCGTTCTATATCACATTTAAATTTGTCATGAAGAAAAATATTCCCGAGGGAGTAGCAGGGCTGTCCTGAGTAAACCAGGGGACCACGGCCACCCTTTTCTGTAGGGAACACTATTTTCTCTCTTTATACCTAAAAGCGTGTGTAGCGGGGGAGGCTGAACCTGTATCACGAGGAGCTTCTTTTAAAAGTTCAGGAGTTTTTAGTTGTAGCTTTTGAAATATCAATATTGAATAATAATGGTTGAGATCTAAAACGTCCCCGACAGCTCGCGTGCGGAGATCACCCGGGGCCGGGCTCCTCGGGGCACTTCTCTGCGGCGGGCCTCCCTGGTGGGGAAAGCGGCGCACAGAGCACCCGGTGGCCAGAGCTCCCAGCGCCGGCTGAAGCTGCGCGCGTACTGTCGCTCTTCTGCGCGGTGCCCCGGTAGACACTGCACTGAACGCTTGGTGTTCTCTGTAGTGTCCAGCTTTCCAGCGTACCCGCCCAGGTCGGCTGCAGGTGTAGGCTAGCTCATGACGAGCACCGTTTTGAACACAGATTTTTAGGCCCTTGAGTCAACGAGGGGGACCAAAAGGTAGGATATGACGTCCAACGATATAAAATGTTCTTTAATTAGACCAATACATCAACAGGCACAACACAGCGTTTTTTCAGAGCCCCACACCTAATACTCAGGCACAATCCCACGCTCCCAGGACCGCAAAGCGCTCAGAGGGCAGGCTTGGCACGTGGGTGGAGTCTAGGGAGCTGGGACGTGGTAGCGGAGCATGCCGGGAATCGTAGTCTATGTCTGCCTTCCCTCAGGGTCCGATGGGAGTTGTAGGCCACGGCTTTCGCACAGCATGCCGGAAATTGTAGTCCGCCCTAGCGCGCGGCCAGGAGCGCGCTTTCCCACTGACGGGGCTGCGCTCGAGTACTCTTCCGCCCGAACCGAGAAAGTTTCGGTTCTGCCCGGCCGGGAACCCAAGAGCGAGTAAGTGCCGCCGGCGAGCTGCGGGGCTCTGGGGGTGCTGGGGCCGCTCTCCGCCCGAAGCGGAGAGTGTGCTCGGGCGCCGTGGGTCACCTGTTGCCCACAGCGTCCCCGCCCATCCCGGGTCCCCCGGGGACCCCGCCCGGCGGGCCCTGTCACCTCTGGGTCACCAGCGTAAGGGCCCTGGGGCCAGGGTGCCCTGGGGATCGGTTACCCGCGGACCCCAGACACCACGTCTGTTTGGGCGCAGGGGACCCCGGCTGGGGGTCTCGGTGCCGGCGCAGGGCCCAGGCCGCAGGTCCTGCTGGCGCCGTCCTCGGGAAGCCTCGGTTCCGGCTCGTCCGGGCCGCCAAGCCCAGACCCCCTCCCCGTGACCCCTGATGCCCTGGCCCTCCTGGGAGGGGACGGGGTGCCTTCCGGCCCGCACTGCCTCCGCCCCGCCCTTCGTGCCCAGGACGGGGATCGCGGTGACCCAGTCCGCGACCTGTGAAGCGGCTGTGCTGTGCCCGGTTGGCCGGCCGGCCGGCAGGTCAGCTCTGTTGACAGCTTGGCCGTGTGTGTGTGTGTGAGGAAACACTGAATTTCACCTTTACATAAGAAAAACACATGCGGTTGACACTCTACCCACGTGGCCTCCCGGTAATACACACGTGTCCTTTGATGCCTCTGCCGCCCTCTCATCGTCCCCACTAGTTGTCCCCTCCAGAAACAGAGCACTTGTTGACACTGTCTGAGTTGACTTCTCTGTCCCTCTGCTTGTCTTGCTTACCACAGCAGTTTCCTTTTCCGGCAGAGAAATGGGTCAGGGGCTTTGTGGGGGCAGAGGATAGGGGCTTAATCTGCGCCTGCCCTCCCTCCACCCTGGGCCCTGTGGTCTGCTGCGGAAGCCTAATTCCCTGCCACCTGCCTAATGCTGCCATGCAGGGGTGGTGGTTGTCCATGCTGGGGCCCGGACTGTGCCTGTCTGCTTTCAGTGTCCCCACCCCACCCCAGGGGCCCTCGCAGGGTGCTGCTCCTTGTCTGAGGCACTGCGTTCAGCCCTGAATGTTGGGGGGGGGTAATGTACTGTCCCCCGGAAGTCAGAGTTAATGTCACAGCCTTGCCACTTGTCTTCTGATTAGATGGAGCTGATAAGCCTCTTGCTTTAGGAAACTGTTTATCAGCCTCCATGGAGTGTTCGTGTTTGTGTAGCACTTCGTTTAGTTTTTAGTCTTTTAAGAAAGTAGGTAAATGTCTAGACTCGCAAAGAACTGAGTAGTGTCCCTTCATTGTCGCTTGGTATTTTATTACTTCTACATTTGCTTCAGAGATTGATGGCTTAGTTAGTGAGCCTGAAGCTGTTCCTTTGCCACTTGAGGCCGGGTGCGGGGCCCCTGCTTGGCTCAAGAGCCAACTGTTGTGCCTGGTCCTTCCAGGCGGGCTGCTCCCCACAGCACTTGGGATGACAGGGGCCTTCTCTAACAGCAGGATCAGAGTGTGTGGGTCCCCACGGCTGTAAGCTGCTGCCTTTGTAACAGGGTGGGTGTTTATTGAAGAAGCTCACCCCTCCTAGCCCTAAGTTCCCCTCACAGGAGACATCTAGCAGATGGCCAGCCCCTGCATTCTGGAGATGCTAAGAACCAGACATCTGTCACTCAAGACGAGTGTCATTAAACATGAGGCAGAGGAAGTGCCCTGTCTAGCCGTGGCCTTATCATGGGAACTGGTGGAACTCAGTAGTTAGGAACCACGCTCGCTGCCCGCAGCGCAGGAAGCAGGCAGGGGTCCTTTCCCAGGGCTGCAGCCTCGGGAACTTGGGTATGAACGTGAGGACATCTGCTGTGTTCTTGGGGCGCTCAAAATAAACACTATTTGAGCAGTAAAGTGGGTGAGGAGAATAAGAACTTGAGGCCAGTGGAACATGGCCTACTTTCTTGATTTTTTTTTTTTTTAAATATGTGACTGGGGCCCAGGGAGATAACTCAGTAGAATAATCATGACTGAAAATGGCCAAGGTCTCTGTGCCATCCAGGCCTTGGAGGAAAATGGCAGAAGCTATGTGTGGTTGGGCAAAGGGAGCCCTTTGCCTCTCCTCCTGCACTGGAGCCAGTTAGCTTTGTGGCGCTGTGACCCTAGTGGCCCTTCCTATTCACGTCCAGCTCTGTGGCATCCGAGAGGCAATGAGAGCCTCTGATCCTTTGCAGAGACGAGGATGGGGACAGCAGTGTGACTCCGAAGAGGGACTCAAGGAGAATCTGTGGTTTGGTTGTAGCCCTGTGGCTTTGAGGTATGCTTCAGGGCCCAAGGGCTGGGCTGGTCAACCCCTGGTTAACCTGAATATGGTACCTGTGGCCTGGAGCAGGAAACCAAGATAACAGGAGAAAGGTTTGGATCTCCAAGCCCTCCAAATATAGAGCACTTCTCAGTCCTTGTGGAGGCCCAGGAAGTTTATATTCGTGATCCCATGGAACAGTTATTGGAATTCTAGTGAGTTAACTTTAATCTACCTCTGTTAGTGCAACCCGTGGCCAAAATAAAGGCACTAAAGCATATTTGTAGTTGTGGGGAGCCGAGAGGGCCCAAGTCCAGCCACGGTAACAGCTAAGCAAGACAAAGGCCTCGACCCAGGGCCCATCTCAGATTTTATCAATTCATGAAAAAGGAGGGAGCGGAGAGATAGCTCAGCATCACAAGCACCTGCCTGGCAAGTGCAAGATCCTGAGTTTGATCCCTGGTACCAGGAAAAAAAAAGAAAAAAGAAATGGCTTTTGATGAGAGACTGTGAGAATGGTGGAAAGCAGGTGAGCACTGTGAGCTGAGATAGGGAGAAGACCTAAAATCACCTCTGCAATATGAAAAAAAAAAAGGATATACAAAAAGAGTAATCCATGTAACAACTGAGATAGTATCTAATGTTCTAGGGTCTGTGCTTCAGCTCTGATGTATACTCTTTTATACCCTGGGAAGTCATAGCCCTTTTTTTTTGGTACTGGGAATCGAACTCAGGACTTTGCTCTTGCCAAGCAGGCGCTTATGCCCCTGAGCTAGCCTCTTTGCTTGAACCTCAATCCCAGCCACCAGTGGAGTGCGGCTTTCCCTCCCACTTAGCCCAGCTCTCACAGGGAGCTACCTGGCCTGGGGAAATACTGCCCTGCCGTCTTTGCTTAAAAAAACTCCTCAGCTGGACAGTGCTTAAAGCCAACTAAAAGGATAAGGAAAGGGCCTAGCCTACTCTGCACACATCAGTACATGGATTAACTCTTTTTTTTTTTTTTTTTTTTTGTGTGTGTGTGTGTGTGTGTGGAACCGGGGATTGAACTCAGATCCTTGCATTTGCCAGTCAAGCGCTTATCCTACTGAGCCATCTCCCCAGCCCAGTACGTGGAAATAGGGCCAGATTTAGCCAAAATGGAGAGACCGTTACTCCTCCTTCAAGGAGAGTCCTGCAGGTGGTCTTCCACACCAGCAAGCCCTCAGCATGCAGGGAGGACTAAGCCCCGAGTCCCCAGAAGACCTCAGCCTGGCCCTGGGTAGCCCAGCTGGAGGTGCCAGTTACAGAGGAGCAGCGGGGACTTCCCAGCCCAGGTGCCATGGAGCTGGTGAGGAGCAGGGAGGGCACTCAAAAGCCGTGGCCATGGAGAACATCCGTTCTTCCTCTTTCTACCTCTCCAGTCCGGCAATCCCCAGTCTCACTGTGAAGGAAGGTAAAGGTCACCTCCCTGCATGGACCTGGTATGAAACAAGGAGGGAGGGCTCAGGTAACTTGCCCAGCACAGATGGGTGGTCTGGAATGCATAGCTGGTATGCTAGGCTCATGTGGAGCCTTGCCCAGCCCTCCTGGCTTGGTCTTCGCCGTGCTTCTTGCTGCATATTAGACATGGGAGTTCACCTAACAAGTTTGACTCCTGGGATCTGAATAGGTCCAGCTCACAAAGCCCAGCTCCCAAGAATGCCAAGCCCAGTGCCTCACCCACAGCTGCGCTGCAGCTTCCAAGCCAGCGTGGTCCCTTTGGCCTCCCCTCTGCCATACAGCCTGGTGCTCTGCCCCTGGGCTGAACTGTGTCCTGCTGTGGTTACCTCTCCCACCTTGGTTGAAGGCAGAGCCACACTCATGGGAATAGAGAAGGAAGGGCCACCAGAGCAAGATGCCCCACACCAGTGGCTTCTCTCCCTGTGCAGAGGCCGGAAGTTCAAGATCAGGGTCTTGGCAGGCTGGCCTCCTCAGTGGCCGCCCTTTTGCTGGTCCTCAGGTGGCTTTTTGTCTGCTCACAAAGCCCTGGTGTTTCTTTTGTAGACCAAGTTCCTCTTCCTATAAGGACACTCGTCAGATTGGATTGCAGCCCGCCCACGTGGCCCCATTCAGCCTCCTGTACCTCTCTAAAGGCCCTGCTTCAAATGCCACCACACTGTGAGGTAGGGTTAGGGCTTCACCTGAGAGCAGGAAGAGGCGGGACACAGGTCAGCCTCTAACAGGAGGAGTGGAGAAGTGGGGACAGTGGTTACATTGTCCTGGATGGGGGTGAAGGCCTCTGAGTAAGACTTCCTTGGGGACAGAACAGAGGTGCACATGTCCTCCTGTCCTGGCTAAAGCCAGAAAGTCTGGAGGAGCTAGCAGAGGAGGGCTGGGGGTACCAGTCAGAGGGCATGGAGCATCGAAACCCAGAGCATGCCCTGGCCACTTCTGGGCAGCCCAGGGCAAACACCCCTGAGGAAGGGAAGGAAGGGCAGGCCACAGGAGGGGACAGGTCTGACAGCAGTCACCTGAGCTCTCTGGACAGCAAGGGGTGTTATAAAGACAGGAGAGGACACACCCACCCCTCATCTATTCCTGAGATAGGCCAAAGGTTTTCATGGTAATAATAATATAGTGTCCACAATTGCTTAAATCGTCCACAATTTTGATTCTTTTTTTTGTGGAACCAGGGATTGAACTCAGACCCTTGCACTTGCCAGGGAAGTGCTTATTTTCCTGAGTCATCTCCCCAGCCACAATTTTGATTCTTAAAATGCATTATTTTAGTCCA